ATATCAGAGCCTTCATTCACACTAACTGTAAGCCCTGACAAAATATCAGAGCCTTCATTCACACTAACTGTAAGTGGTAACTTTTCTGCCCAGAGGTGGCTGTGTTTTAAGTATTGATGTGTGTCAAGCGCACAGCTACAGCACTTGCCTCAGTTGTTTTAAATTAGCTCATCCATACTCTGAAAGTGGTAACCCTTTTCTTAGAAAAATAGCATAAAAGTCTATTAACCAGGGATTCACCATGAGTTAGATTTCACCAAAGCATTTTTCACATTAAATTGGCAAAGTGCTTCTAGCATTACAGGACTAGGTAGCCCAGGGGTACATTTAGGATGCAAATTTATTTGATTAGACTCTTGACAGTAATTCCATTTAGGAAGAAGAACAAAATGAAAAAATTTAATCATAACAGGTAGATGGGCTTTGCAATAAGTCACAAAAGGAATATATTAATACAAAATTAGCGTAAACAATTTGGTCTTTGTCCTCATAGCTACAATTACATTAAGTCATCTTTTAGAAACTTTGTAGATCAACCAGATACTATCTTCTCAGTAGATCTGATGAATTATAGAAATGGGACCACAAAGAATAAAATTATACATGTATCTATGCAACTGTTAGGTATCTTGACTAGGTATAGTAAGGGTTAAAAATCAGATTCAAACCTACACCACAGAAGAAAATCTGTGTATTAAACATCCAGGAATTTATTTATTTATATACATTTATTTACATCTTATCTTCTACCAAAAAAAAAAAAAGTGAGGCAGCTAAATCCAGACGTAAACTTTGTATTACATAAAGAGGCTCATCTGCATCCAAACCAAGCTGTGTGCCAAGTTCTGTGGTAGTTTAATTGCTACAAACACACTACTTGGCCAGATAAAGAAAGGGAAGCTTAAAAATGATTTTAAGTGTTTCTACTTGTTGACAAAATAGTAGTCTTCACCCAGAAATCGCATACGTTAAAATTAAAATCAAATTTATTTAGGCTTACTGTTCGTTTAAGCTGCATATGCTTCGGTAGTTCTTCGTTCATTTCCAGCAGTTTCAAAAATTCATTCCTCAAAGCTTTGAGCTTTTCTCTCTTTCTAGCCTTTATTTCTTCCACTTCCTTCATTAACTTGTCATGTTCTCTTCTTTTTCTGGCATTCTCAATACTAAAAACAGAAATTTAAAAGAATAACAAGTTAGGACACAGAAATGCATAAGAGAAAATAAATATTCAATAATTTGGAAAGTCATTTAGCTTGGTCAACTTCTATTAAATGCTGGTTTGCAAAACTCAGGCCTAGTCAGTGTTTTATTAAAAATTCTCATACCTATAAGCTTTGGGATCTTCAATATCTTGTGGAATTGCCTCTGTTTCAATTCCAAACTGTTGGAAGTGGAGAAAAAGGTTAGCTTTTTTAAACTGCATAATATTTTCCTTAAAACCTCAAGTAAAAAGTAAATTGCATTTTTTTCCTGCCAATTTCTAACCATTGTAGGTCTGGTAGCTATAAGCTGGAATCAACTCAACAGCAATGGGTTTGGTTTTTTTTTGGTTTTGTAGGTCTAGAAAATATTTTCACAAAAAACAAACTAGGAAAAAAATGGCAGTTGGCTAAACTTATTTGTTTCTGCTTCATTTAAATGAGTAAGCATAAAAAAGAAATCTTGAAACCTGATCATCCCTGGGTGGCACAAACGGTTAAGCGCTCCACTACTAGCCAACAGGTTAGTGGTTCGAACCCACCAAGAGGTACCTCAGAAGACAGGCCCGGAGGTCTGCTTCTGAAAGGTCACAGCCTTGAAAACCACATGGAGCAGTTCTACTCTGCACACATGGGGCTGCCATGAGTTGGCTCTACCCTGCGCGCATGGGGCTGCCATGAGTTGGCTCTACCCTGCGCGCATGGGGCTGCCATGAGTTGGCTCTACCCTGCGCGCATGGGGCTGCCATGAGTTGGCTCTACCCTGCGCGCATGGGGCTGCCATGAGTTGGCTCTACCCTGCGCGCATGGGGCTGCCATGAGTTGGCTCTACCCTGCGCGCATGGGGCTGCCATGAGTTGGCTCTACCCTGCGCGCATGGGGCTGCCATGAGTTGGTTCTACTCTGCGCGCATGGGGCTGCCATGAGTTGGAATCAGCTCAACAGCAACTACAACAACAATCGAGTAAAACTATGAAAAGCACTTTGTTGACTCAGGCACTGGGCTGTTAAGGAAGAAGGATTACAACCAGCGAGCTAAACGAGGATCTGAGTTTGCTAACTAATCAGGTCTTAAGTAAAAAAAAAAATTCAACTTGGCTATCCTCTTTTCTCTTTCACAACAGATAGGTATCTGTTTTGCTGTCATTCATTGTAAAGAAACAGAGTCCCTTTTAATTGTTTTAGTACTGTTTCAGCCTTTTTACACATGAGATGTAAACCTACATATTTTAATGGAAGTCAAGGTTTATGACTTTACTAAAACATGGCCAATGTAAGAGACTGTGATGATTAATAAACTGTACTTACTGTTAATCGCTTCAGACATAAATTGATTGATTTTTATTTATTTTTGACTCTTTTATTGTCCAGAGCCAGGCCCCTTGGTTCTCCTACCTCAGTGTAATTTCCAGGATCTGGTACTGCAACTCAGCCAACTGTCTCCTGGCCACAGCTGTTGACATTAAGTTTGAATCAAACAAACGTGCTTCCAGCAGTTCCAAAATATATGCCAACGGCTGTCATTCCTAGCTACACATTAGAATCACGTGGGGAATATTATGGTAAAGTACTGATGCCTGGGCCTCGCCTTCAGAGGTTTTGATTTAACTGTTCTTGGATGGAGCTCAGGCGTCTGTACTTTTAAGTGTTCCCAGCTGCTTCTTAAGAACAGTGAGGTTAAGAACCTTAGACCTATGCAGAGCTTTGTTTTCTTTCAATTCTTTCAGATTTTTCCTTCTTAAAGCAGGATCTGCTGCAGTGATTTAAGACATATTGATTGCAGTCATCAGTAAAAAGATACTATTATACAAACATGGAATGGATTTTTTCCTATCTAATACGGTTTTCTATAAAGAGGCTTGGCACCAGGTAGAAAGATAAAGATTTTCTTCTTGTTCACACACTTCCACTTCTGTAATTCCTCTCCTTGATCCGGACGTCTTTAGATAGCAGCCCACACTCCAAATTTTGCTGATATTAATAGAAATTTAAATTTACCTGCTCATATCTTCCCTACAATCTTTCTGTGTTCTTTGGAAGTGGACTATCTGTTAAATGGGAAACCAATGTGTTCATCAAATACACTTTCTGAATCTTTAGGAGCAATTCCAATGGTTATTAAATCATGGCTTTATCGAAAGGAACCACTGAAAATAGAAAATTTGGGTCCTGTGACAGGGCAAAGGATATATTTTGGGGATCTGAACCCTTAATCCTCATCATAAAGTCTATAATCTATTCTGCCTGAGAATAGAATAACTTACACTGAATCTTTGATCGTGACCATATTGTCATATTCTAATACTAAAGACAATAATACTTTTACAATCCCTTTCAAAGGTCAGTATGGCATACATTCCATGCATGCCCCTTCAATGAATGGATAAATAAATGAAAAGCAAAATGTATATCTGAAAAAAACTGTGCATTTTGAATAACAGAAACTTCAATCAAGAAAGTGATTGATACAGAAAATGTATTACATTCCTTTTTAATTTGGAGGAGTTCTACAACTTTAAAATAAGGGGAATTCAATATCTTTAATATTCAATATAGAAGCACCAAAAAGTCAAAACTATAATACTGGTAGGAAGATTAGCCTATAAAATGAATGTGTCCAAACAGTTTTCAGTTTTCAAAAAATATGGGCAATCTTAACATCACTATTTTAAAATAAAGCTTTTATTTTTGTTGTTGTCAGTTAGTTACTTAGTTAGCTACATACCCTGGGCAATGGCACTTTGGCTTTGATGTCTTTGTCTAATGCTAATTCAGAAAAAATGTTGAAAATAAAGATATTACTATCTGCTCCACTAGTCACCAAGAAACGGTCATCAAAGCTAGTGGAGATGTTTTCAATACGCCCGTAATCATTGTCATGCACACAGAATTGCCAATATTCCGCCATACTAGTCAGTGAAAAGTCATTCTGACTTAGGATATAGACTCGAATGGCTCCATTTTCCATTCCACAAAACATCATAATTTGATTAAGGCTGTGAAACAAAAAGAAAGTAAACTGTTATTCATACTAATCTGAAAATAATGTTTAATTTTAACTTGAGTGACAAATGACTAAAATTTTAATTGGGTAGAGGAAAAAAAGCCAATTTGAAATCTGGAGCTATTATATATCTGATCTTCAGAAGAATGACTGGCATGTATGCTCAATTCTCAATTATTAAGGGCTAATGATTCAACTTGTGATTTCTATAGAATCATTGTAACCATGACCCTTCATTACCTAACCATGCAATAGCATCCTCTTAAATAACAGTAGGTAAATCCATAAAATTCAACTGTGTGATAAACAGAAATTCTGAAAAATTTTGATAGGAGGATTGAAATACAGTTTCAGGATTAGCTTTGATTCTATTTATTCATTTGATTCATCTAAGCAAACACTGTTTGAGTAATCCTCCATTTGGATGAATCATTAAGAACTGACATATCCATGATGTACAAAAACATACATACTAATGAAATATAAGATTTTTTTTTAGCTTTTTGAAATTCCATTCACCTGAAAGTGATAGCTCGGACAGGATTATCCTCTGTATCCTCAAGAAAACGGAAATCAAAAGGCTCATCTTTCTGTTCTGTGATATCACGATCTTTGTCAAACGGGGGGAACGCACAGTGATACAGGAAGCCAGCATCATAGCCACCCTGGAAAAGATAAATAACTGAGAGGGCGGCACTGGACTATGGGACACATATGACCACGTGAAGATTTTTTGATTGTTTCAAAATTTAAAATGCAAAATAGATGTTTTAAAACATCTACTTCCATACCATTTCTATGATTATAGATAGGTTTTATTATTTTTAGAAAACATCTCCATTGTTCATTTATATGCAAATATACAATTATAATAAAAACATTACAATGATTTGCTTCTCCTTAAAAGTTAATACAAGAGCAGTATCACCTTTAACTATATGCTGAATTCCATTTCATTTCAAATATTATTCTGAATAAGCAGTGTTTAACAATAGGTCTTTGCAGGTCTTTGTTTTCACAGCTACTTTTCAGCGTAGGGTACTTTTAAACACTATTAATTTTCGAGGAAGAACTATTTGGGCAAAATTTATCCTGTGGTGAGGACAAGTGATCATCTGAGGACAACTGATCATCTGGAAGAACTATACTGCTCCAATTCTAACTTGCTTTCCTTCTCTATGTAAACCAGAGATTCCTTCAAGGAAATAAGGGCCAAAACATCTTTATGAATAATAAATAAATAAGAAACAGAAGGTAACAAAATGATCCCCTCTGAAAATAAAATTACTGATTTTTCAACTTTATGATAAAGGCAAACTAAATTGTTTTAGCCAGACCCTTCTACTGAAAATAACTAGAACAAGTTTTCTAGAAAATACATTTGCAAGCATTGGAGAGCTAACAAAATAGCAAGCTCCAGAAGACAGGGGAAGCCAAAATAAGTGAGCCTGGCATTTAGCATTGCTTTTTCCCCTGAGGCAAGCTGAGAATAGATGTCTGCAGTGTCATGGAGAAAGGAAAAGGGAACGAATTTCCAGGGTCCTCCAAGGAGAAGAGATCATTGTAAACAAATCAGGCTTTCTACTGGGACCCTAGAGCACTATACCCTAGAGCTATGAGTAAACTAGAAATAAATGGGCCCTCAGAGGACGTGAAGGCTAATTTCAAATCATATCATTCACTCACTGTACTAAAGTGATCTAGGATTTCTAGCTGCTTTCCAGAGCCAAAAGTAAACCCTTTCCAGAAGATAATAAGAAAATAAAGAAATTTAAGCTATCTCTACAATTTTTTACACACAAAATTTATCACTCAATAGAAAATAACCAGGCTTGCTAAAAAAGAGAAGACAACTAAAAATCAAAAGGAAAAAAAAGAATCACAAGAGATATCAATACTGGAGTTTTCAAAATGGACTTCAAAATAACTACGATTAATATGCTCAAGGAATTCAAAAACAATATAGAAATTTTCAGCAGTCAACTGGAATCTAAAAAAAAGAAATAATGAAAATTCTAAAACTGAAAAATAAAATGATGAAAATTAAAAATCCAATCAATCAATTAGACACAGTTAAACAGCTGGAACAGATATCATAAAAAATAGACTAAAGTATGCAGAGAAAATAAAGATTAAAGATACAAAAAAATAATAAAAAGACTGTAAGATACATAGGGAATATAGTCAGAAGGGTCTAACATACATAAAATTGGAATCCTAGAAGAAGAGAGTAAAAAGATGGGGCAGAAGCAACAGTTAGGGGAGATAATGGCTGAGAAGTTTCCAAAACTGAATAAAGACATGTTGGAATTCAAAAAGTGCTAGGAACATACATGTGAAGAAACCACACCTTTAAAAAAATTTTTTTATAGCAACCAGAGAAAAAAGATGCATTAACCTTCAAAAACAAAAACAAAAACAAAACAATAAAAAGATGCAACTGGATTTTTAACAGAGTGGAAGACAAAAGACAGAAAAAGATACCATCAAAGTTTTGAAAAGAAAACATCCAGCAAGAATACACTTCAAAAATAAAGGCAAAATAAAAATATTTTAAAACAAAAGAGAGAGAAAATTTGCCACAAGCAGACCTACACTAAAGAAAATAGTAAAGAAAATTTTTTAGGCAGAAGATGCAATTATAAAGATGTAGAAAGGAATGAACAACAAGAAAAAGGATAAACCAAAATGAGGCTGACAATATAAAACAACAATCAAATGTCTTCTAGGAATAAAAATTTATCATAAAAATAAAACACTTAACAACAGGGAGGGAGGATAAATGAAGTCAAAGTGTTCTAAAATCCTTTTTTCTCTATGGAACTAGTAAAATAATTAATTTATAACAGATTTTATTAAGTTAAAGATGCATAGTATGACCTTTAGGAACACCTCCAAAAGAATAGTAAAAGAATCTATAATAGTCTAATAGAAGGAGAAATATTTGGCAGAGGGGGTTGTGGGGGAAACTACCTAGTCATCCAACAGGAGGTTAAAAAAAAAAGGAGAAAAAAAGGAACACACAATTGGTTGGACAAATAGAAATAATTATAAGATGATAGATTTAATCTAAAATATATCAGTAATTACACTAAATATAAATGGACAATTACTCTATTAAAAGACAAGATTTTTTTAAATTGTACTTTAGATGAAGGTTTACAGAACAAATAGTCTCTCATTAAACAGATAGTACACATATTGTTTTATGTTAATGGTTAACAACCCCACGACATGTCAACACTGTCCCTTCTCAAACTTGGGTTCCCTATTACCAGTTTTCCTGTCCCCTCCTATCTTCTAGTCCTTGTCCCTGGACTGCTGTGCCCCATTAGTCTCATTTTATTTTATGGGGCTATCTAATCTTTGGCTGAACGGTGAAACTCAGGAGTGACTTCTTTACTGAGCTAAAAGGATGTCTGGGGGCCATACTCTTGAGGTTTCTCCAGTCTCTGTCAGGCCAGTAAGTCTGGTCTTTTTTTGTGAGTTAGAATTTTGTTCTACATTTTTCTCCAGCTGTGTCTGGGACCCTCTGCTGGGATCTCAGTCAGAGCAGTCAGTAGTGGTAGCCAGGCACCATCTAGTCGTACTGGACTCAGTCTGGTGGAGGCCATGGTAGCTGTGGCTGATAGGATTTTTTTTTAATAAATCTTAACCATATGCTGCTTACAAGAGACATACTTTCAAACAAAGATATCAAAAGGAAAAGCAAAGAAAATTATCATGAATGACTCTCAGAGTTTTGGCTTAGTAATTGGATGGATGGTTGCCCTGCATACTGTGATGGAGATGGAGGAGGTTTGCATGGAGTGAGGATGGTTTAAGAGTTATGTTTTGGACATGTTAGTTTTGAGGTGCCACATGAAAATGTCAAGTTGGATATACACATCTGGAGTTCGGGGGCGATGTGAGAGCTAGAGATAAAATTTTGAGACTCATTGGTATATAAGCAATATTTAAAGCCACAGGACTATATGAAGTCACCTAGCAAGAAAGGGGGTGCCCAATACCACATCCTGGACTTTAAGTTTGTTCAGCAAATGAGAAGGTAGCAAAAGAAGCTGAAAAGCAGTGGCCAGGAGAGTGTGGTGTCTTGGAAGACAAGTGTTTTACGAGGGAAGGTTAACTGTATTGAATGCTTCTGAAATTCAAATGGACAGAGAAGTGACTGAACTTGACAATATGCAAGTCATTGGTGCAGTGAAGTGGTGGGTATAGAAGCCCAACTGGAATGGATTGAAGACCAAATAGGACGTGGAGTGAAGCCAATAACTACAGACAACTCGTTCAAGTTTTCCTGTAAAGTAGCAGTAGATGGAAAGAAAAGAGAGGTTAAGGCAGGATTTTTAACATGGTAGCTACTGGAGCATGTTTACGTGTTGATGATAGGAATCGGGTAAAAAGAGAGAAAAATGATGATTCAGGATACCGAGTGCTTAATTTCAGGAGCAAAATCTTTAAGAAAGTGAGAGGGGAAGGGATCAAGAAGCCATTTGGAAAGAGTGTCCTTGGAAAGGAGCTGGGAACAACTCACTAACTAAAAAATAGGCAAAGCTGTCCAAACATGCATGGATCCTGACAGAGTGTTACATCTGATTGTGAGACAATAAGGACATTCCCATTTGAATGCTTTTATTTTCTCAGTGAAGTGTGAGCTTATCATTGAAGAATGCGGGAAGGTACAAAATGTTTGAGGGGTAAAGAAAATACTAAACCAATAGTTTTGAAAAGTGGGAAAGTGAACACTGTTGGGCAGTAGAACCATCTACAGTGTGAGTACTAATTGGAAAACTGTGTTCATGATTTAAAAGTGAGAACAGTTTTTCTACAGCATCTGCTTGCATGTATGCAAAGAGCTGGCAAACAGTTGGATTAAGCAGGGTTAGCATTACCACCTCTGTAAAGTGTATCTTACCTTGCTTGCTGGTGTAGCATAATGGTTAAGAGCTTAGACTCTGGACCCAGACTGCATTAGTTCAGATCCTGGCTCCACCACTTACTAGTTATATGACCTTGTATGAGTTACTTAACCTTTCCATACCTTGGAGATGCTAATAGCACTTACTTTATAGGGTAAGTCACTTAGAATGGTGACTGGTACAAAATAAGTAAAACCCGTTGCCACCAAGTCGATTCTGACTCATAGCAACCCTAGAGGTCAGAGTAGAACCGCCCCATAGGCTTTCCAAGGCTGTAATGTTTACAGAAGCAGGCTGCCACATCTTTCTCCCCTGGAGTGGCTGGTGGATTCAAACCGCAAACCTTCCAGTTAGCAGTCAAGCGCATTAACCACCATGCTACCAGGACTCCTTACAAAGTAAGTAGGGTTGCCATATTCAGCAAACAAAAATACAGGACACCAAGTTAAATTTGAATTTCAGATAAACAATATTTTTTAAGTATAAATATGTCCCATGTAATATTTATCTGGCAACCCTAAGAGTAAGCACTAAATATGTTTACTAAATACATGAATTTTTTTATATCTATGTTTTTAGGATACTGGAACTCTATGACATTATATTAGTTACTTGTTTTTGTGCCTCTCTCCTTCATGATATGAGGAAATTTCCTGAGGGCAGGAATCATGTTTTATTTATCTCTTTATCCCTTTAACTCCACATAATAGTAGACATCAATAATTGTTTTGTAAGATACATAAAGG